CCTTAACATGAAATGAGGAGGGTTTAGGATTTGAAGTCCTCGTAACTCGGACTTAAAAACATTCATCGTTTTCTAATACAGCAAGTGAGATCTTCGCACCAACTTTTGGGAGTGAATTGCTTGTTTTTTACTTTTTCTAATTTCTTTACTTTTGGGCAAAAAAGCTACACGCTCTTTAAACTCCAAAAAAGTATAAAAACTGTACGCTAAATGTGGGAGATAATATCACAAACCTTTAGTAACGTGCTTTGGCTGGTCATTCCCCCAGTGTTTCGAGCCTGACACTCGTAAGCACCAGCATCAGCTCGAGAAGTTTGATGTATCCGAAGGGTACCATTTGGGTAAACCATCTATAGGCCATATATCAAAAAAGAGTAGGCAGTAAATTAAAATCTTAACCTATACCGTGTTCACTCCATTTAGTACGGTCACACCATACCGAAGCCATCTAATTTCAACTTTACTTGAAGACTGAGTTTGGCAATGGAGAAATGCTGGATGACCGAGTGGTGTGGATGTGTTGGTGAGTCCAGTGATTAGAGGAGGCGATTCTAGAACAATCACAACTAGCTGAGGTAAATTGAATATTTCTTCAAAATTACTACTACAGGGTTAGCTTGAGCAAGAACAGCTGTCATTCAAGAAAAAGGAGGTATGTTCAGTGCAGATGTTTGGGTATACTAGACAGATAACTAATAAGGTAGTTGTGCTATTTTAAAGTATGGAATGAGGTGGGGCTTATGTGAAGATTGATTCTAACAAAAGTACTTTGCAGCCATTTGTAAGGGATTATAGATTCGGGCAGATCCATGAAGTAAGAAGTAAAAATAACCAAATAATCAAAGCGTTGAAAGAAGTTCTGAGAAATAATTAGATGTAAATAATCTTAATAGAGGGTGATCGAAAAATGGCCCAGGCTTGATCGTTGTAAATTCTTTCAGAATTTTTTCTAGGCTAGTATGGTTTGAAAGGTTAGCTTGAACTTAGATATGCACTTGGCAACAAATCTTTTTCCTCTTTTTACTGGCTACGGTATTTTCTAGGTGGATTTAGCACTAATGCACATTGACATTGACCCAAGCGCAATGTAAAAACACAAGAGCCCAAATTCGATAACAATTTAATTCAGTATGGCTTTGCAACAGAATTATAGGAAGTGCTAGCAACGCTATAG